ATATATATATATATATATATTATCTAATTTAAATATTCTGATGATTAAAATTAATGTCAATATTTTAACAAATAATCACTGACATTAAATATCACACAATGTAAAATAATCTCCCTCATTCAATTATTTTTAACAATTTTTTATTAATTTAATTTAATATTTCCGACTCTAAATTCATTTTTGTATTTTTATTAACATTGAAATAACAATTGATAGTTTATTTTTAATCATATTTTACAAGGAAAAAATTTACATCATAAAAATTAAAAATTTAAAAATAGTCCTAACAAATGATACTAATAAACTAATCAAATATTAAAATAAAATAATTTTTTTTCTTTTCATTTCATATTAGTGTTCTTATTCAAAATGTTTCATCTTAGATTAGTGTAGCTCGATTAAAAGGTAAATAAAATTTAGTTAAATAAAATTTAGTTAAGAATTGAACTCAGACATTACCCGAAAGATTTAATTTGGAGTAATATATTAATCACTTGTGTCTAACTCTTTAATATAATAATTTTTCTTTATAACTAATTTTAGCAAAATCAATGACTCATTGGTTAGTGTTTCTTTACAATTCTTTAAAATTAGTTTGATTTGATCAAAATTCTATGTTAAAAGGTTGATTATAGAACTATTTATTATGTATAAAATTATGTGTCAAAAAATGTAGAAAATTATTAACATACAAAAATTATATTTGGTGACAAAATAATTTACACAATTACATTCATCTATTGTATAATAATGTCATATCACTCTAACATAAAAATCTAATCATTATTATATATCTCATTTTACTTTAGACATTATTGACTCGCTTTATAAATTTACATAAATCTTATACTCTTCTTATTTCAATGCATATTTTAAAATTATTTAATGTTATAATTTCATGTAATAATTTTAAAATACTTTTAATATTATAAAAATATAGTTATATATGAATCGCACATACGAGTCAATATCTAATTTTTATTTAATAAAAAAGTTAATATTAATCATAATTTTTTATTTAATATACCATCCATTTAAGACAATGAAAAATGATAGATCATGATCATCCATTAAATGAACATTTCGTTTTCTATCCATCGCTTAATTTAAATTTTCTTGTCCACAAATTTGAAGTGCACTTATTAGAAACAAGCTTTTAAATTATAAAAATATTTTATAATCTTTCATCAACCTCTTAAAAATATGAAAAATTAAAATCCTATAACTCATCTCGTTCCATCTTTTTTGGAACACAATGGAATGAAATATTTCATACACTATTCAATATCCAAATAATCAAATAACATTTTTATTTCAATTCATTCCGATACATCTAATTCCACTATATTACAACACTCCTAATATGATAATATTTTATACTAAAACTAAAATGAAAAAACATTTAATTTTTCGTCAAAATGAATTTAAAACGATATTGGAAAGCTAAGCTTGAAGTACCCATAACAAAGCTCAATACTAAATGCCAATCCCACGAATTCAGGCTTGATGAGAAGTCTATTAAAAAAAAACAATGAAAAACAGAAAGGACACGAGTGCTTGTAAATTGTTGAATTCATAAATTTATATTCCACTATTTTCATTCTCTGGCAATTTAACACATCCAATAATATCATTGCTGAATACTCGTTTTTCCATTAGTCGAGCATTTTGCTTCTATATTTTGGAGTATATTACCAACTTAAAAGCAATGATCGGAGAATTAAACCCGAATGCACAAGTGTAAGGTCACGATAAGAACAGTAAAACTCTGGTTATGATCATATCATTAATACTCTGGTGTCTTTCCTCAAAGTTAACACTGAACCGGATAATACACAACAATGTTTGAAATCAAATATTGTTGTACAATACAGATACAAAATCACAGAATCATGATGTCATATTACGCATCATCTTCGGAAGAGACGGAAGAAACTCGATCCCTAATCATGGGAAATTTATCAGACAATTTATATAATGGCCCATCGGTTGCAGAACCTTGAAATGCAATGCCTAGTGCATATCCTAAAGCTCGAGCTACTGGAACTGCCACAGCATTCCCAACTTGAATGTACCTGAAACAAATATAAAATTCAAATTAAGGAGACAGGAGAATACAAAGCTTTTAACAGACCACAAATAATTTTAGTTACCTTTCTTTGACTGGCCCACACAGCTTGTAGAAATCTGGAAAACCTTGGAGTCTTGCATTTTCACGAATTGTCATCACTCTATCTTGTTCTGGGTGTAAAATTGCCTAAAAACATGTAGCACAATGAGTAAAATATCATTTTAAAGTGCAAACAAAGGGATAAAACACAACACCCCACAGATGAATTTAAACATATTTTATTATAATTAAACAAGCATTACCTGATTGTGGGGTTCTGCTCTTGTCACAACAGTTGGAACAGTTTCATCCCACCATAGCCGAGCAAAAGGTCTAAAGGAATACAATATTGATTATTGATCCACAACATTCCGCTACCACCAATAAAAATTAGTTCAAATAAATTTAACACTTACTTTGATGAAGTTCCATTCACAAAAGACATAGCATAATCCGGAACCTGATATCAATGACAGCAACATATTATAAAAATGTAAATGGAAGAATTTACGTATCATTTATAATGCATTGATCAAGTCAATGGGATGCTTGAATAAATATGCAAAATCCTTTGTTACCAATGGTTTTCCTGAATCCAAATATACACGTTCCACATCTGGATCCCATTCAACCTTGTTATCACTTCCCACTCGAACACCTGGTAAATCTCTGAAGCATGCACCCTGGTGATAATAAAAAATCAGTGTTAATAAAAGTAAAACTTATAAATAATAGCACTATTTCATGGCAAACAAATGCTATATGACTTTGAACATGAACCTTCTTTTTGGGGATCCGACAGACACGCTGATAATCATCCACATTTAATTCTAGTGGGCGATGATCATAAAGCAAAGAGTTGGACGATTTTGTTTGAAACCCCAACATTTCTGCACAGATAGATTTAAGAAACCAAGACCATCAAGCAAATATAAAATTTTTGTTTGTTATTGTTCATGACTACACCGAAATTGAAAAGTTATTGTTTATGTTCCAAAGAAATCATGTAATATTGTATTACCATCTTTGCTTAATCTAATGAACCGTTGGAAATCCGTTTGAGGAGGTTTGCCATATTTTATCTCATCGCGACGTTCATTATTCTCAACCTAAATACATTAATAAAGTAGTGTTCATTAATAAATAAACTAACACAGTAAACCCAGACAAGGTGTGGGAAAAGTTGCAACAATGACGTTAAGATATACCGGAGGAAGGTCAGAAATAGCATCTTCCAATAGCAGCTTTTTCTGTAGTTGAACATTCTGCCCTTCATCGTATGCTACTGTGTTTATCTGCAAGCAATATAGAACGAGTTTTTTTAATGAATAACCAATGTATGTTCACATAATAATTGTACCTTCCAATGTTCTATTATACAACAAATACGTGGAAAACTAATTGACCTCAAAATCATTCTTAATATTTTTCTTACTCCAACTATGCACCAAAATTATTCAAATTCAAAATATGGATATTGTGAGTTTATCAATATGCACATACCTCAAACTCCAAAGGAATAACACCCCTTACAATCACATCATGAGTTGGAAGAGGGAATTGAGGCAATTTCTGCATAACATAAGAAATATAATTTTAACACAAACTCTGCACCATTAGTAAAATTTAATAAAGATTACTATTAACAAACCTGACAAGGCGCAGCCCCCCATAAGAAGACACGCAAACGAAACTGAGGAAGCCCGTAAGCACCCGCAGCCATAATTCCCAAGCGAGCTTGATAATTCATTTGAAGGAGGCGACCCAAGGCATATCTCCCAAGAAAGCCTTCCGAAAATTTTACAAGATCAACCACATTTTCCATCAATGCAAATTTGGGCTTTAGATATTGAACAATGTCCATATAAACAACAAGTTGTTTGTTCTTCTCATCTGACAAAGGGCTCTCTTTGTTCCGAAACCGGTTGAAACCACTAATACCTTGGCAAGGAGGACCACCACATATTACATCAACATCTCCCTATTCAACAGCAACAAATATAAAGTTACACACAATACTAAAGGAAACTACACCAAAAATACACTCGGGACTTACAGGCAAAGGCAACATCTTTGACTGGAAGCCTTGAATGACAAACTCCTTAATTTTTTCCTTACAATTGCTGTTGCAGAGATGATGTTTAAATCAACAAAATTTGATGAATGCAAGTATATGATAAACACAATAAATTAATGAATACATTAAACATTAGAATAAAGTATGTAAAATATTTTAGCTTACCTTAGACCTTCAATTGGTTCCCAAGAATCCTCATCAGATCCATAACCCTTCCAATGAACCTTAAAGGCGTACAAGGCAAAAATATTGAAAAATAATATTAGCTAATACAAAAAATCATAAATAGTTACAATTACAACCGCAGAACAAATAAAGAGCTAGTGAATAAAAAAATGTGGTACCTTGAAGTATAACCCTTGCTCTTTTTTCTTATTTGGATCACCATAGCAGACAGCAAGGATTTCAGCAACTTCAAATATTTCACCATCTTCATCTTCATCCTCTTCATCATTATCCTCTCCGTTACTACAAGAGTTGTCATCTTCACTAAAAAAATTCTCATACTTTTCATGTAACACCTTATTTTCCACTAGAGAGAAGTAACTACATAATTTATGCCACTCCTTCAATAATGAAAGAAAATTTTCTGCAGATTCGTTTCTAACCTGATTTTAATAGTAAACATGGTTGATATCAGTATACCATAATAATACGGAACACTAAAAGCTAAAATTTAAAAAGAAATGCAAACCAACTCAGGTGGAAGTTAACATCCTACTTGTGGTTCCGGAATATAAGCTTAATAATAAATTTTAAATAAAAATAAAAAAAAGTGTTGTTTTCAATGAAAGCAACATAAAATTAAGAGCTTATTTGGTGGCCAAAATAAAGTATGATAGTTATCCTATCATATTAAAATCAATTGTTTATTGCATCAAGATGATATAACAAACAAAGAAACTTGGAATTACCTCAGTTTCAGGATGGTTTAATTTAAGACTTTGACAAGCATGTTCATTCATGTCCACCGCCCATCTCTATTAAAAAAGAACAGCATCAAAATAAACACAAACTAAACAAAATAAATCCAAAGAAATGTTTTACCAAAAAGCATTCAAAGAACTTACAGTAACAAGGTTCACACCAGATAAATTTCCTCCAAGACACAAGCCAGTTGACATTGCTCCACAACCACAATATAAATCTAACAATTTCATTTCTGGATCTTTACTTTCACCAGAAACAAAAGCTTCCTCACAAGATATTGTAGAAGAATTCTCACTAACCGATTCTCCATTTTCTGAATGAACAAATTTATACCAAAACTAAGAATCAATTACAAATATATATATATATATATATATATATATATATATATATATC